CTCTTGAAACCCTTTCATTGGCTAAACAAATATCTATGTGATTATATAATTATTCATGCAATTGTTCAAAACACGACACAAAATAACCAAAAATCAAACATAGCATGTAATCACAGGCACTTGAAGGGATTAAAATTAAACTTCTTACTACTGCTTGACTATATATTATATTATATACTATAATATATAGTCAAGGATTAAAATTAAGCAGTAGTAAGAAGTTTTATTTTAATCCCTTCAAGTGTCTGTGCATGTAATGGTTCTCTAAAAGTTAATCACTGTACTTCCAAAGTCCTATGATATAAATTGAACGCACAACAGACAAAGCGTCTTATTTGTGTGTAAATTGTTTACATGCTTGATTGTGGATAAGTAGGTCAGCGCACGTGTTTGTATTGGATTGTAGTGAATGTCATCGGCTATGATCGGGGCAGCGCTCACACTGGCTTTCATTTTTTTTTCGCCAGAATGGATCACAATTTTCATATAAAAAAATTGATATTTTTTCCCGCCAACTTGAATATTTTGTGACAAAAATTTATGTTAAAAAAACAAATATTGTCAAAGCGTAAAATAATTTTATTTTATCATACACATTTAATTATCATACACAATTTACAAAATCCTCCTTTATATTACATTGGCCCAATTGATAAATGACTTTTAAAGATCTGGTTGACTTTTAGTTAGAGTGATGGACATTACATTTGATAAAGTATTTGGTTTTAAACAGTTCTACTGGCCGTTTTAATTATATTTTGTTTACTGAATCCTCGATTCGGGGGTTTAGACAAGTGGGTTGTGACAATGTCACTTAGTCCCATTTTTCCTTTTTCTGTTTTGTTGTTTACATGATGGGTGTAACGATTTGTATGTTTCTAGATTAGATCTTTCTTACCGCTAACCCGAGGCACACTGATGCCTTTGGTGGATTTCTTATTAATAATAATAAATAATATGTTCATTTATATAGCGCCAAATCCACAAATCGTGTCCATAGCGCATACAACTATACACAAGCCTTTTGGCTCTATTTTTTTTTTTTTTTTTTTTCAATTTATGTAGTGAATTTCGAAAAGATGAGTTTTTAATCGAGATTTGAAGATTGATAAAGAAGTCACAAAGCCGATTTCAACTGGGAGTGCATTCCATCTGTCAGCGGCAGAAACAGCAAACGCTCTTTGTCCAAAGGTAGCAAGTTTCCACTTTGGTATCACTAGCTGATTGAGTTTGATGCGCGCAACTGTCTTTTTGGAATATACCGTTGACACACTGATATGTTAGGCAGAGTACTTTAAAGTCTATCCGGGCACTGACTGGTAACAAATGAAGGGTTTGGAGAACTGGGCTTATGTGACAATGATATGGAGATCTTGTGTAGCACTATCGTCCTTGCGACATTGTTTATAGACAAGGAATAGAGAAATAAGATGGCTTTATATTTCACTAGTTAATATCTTTGCCAAGTTGGTAGGTTCCCACATATGTAGAATTGTACTAAATCAACTTAGTCTGTAATTGACAGTTGACATATAAAAAAGAGCTCTTTAACCAAAACGTGTCAATAATTTACCACCAGAATTACACGTGAGTGGAATTATTCTAATTGCATCATTTGATTTAAAGTAACCAATCATTTTGTTAATTACACAAGTTCAGGGCCATGATCACGCTTTATTGTGCATGATATTCATATACCTTTAAAAGAAACCGGGGAACCCTGTAAGTCAGGCTTCTATTAGGTTCCAGAGAGCTTACATATGAGTTCCTAGACAGCCGCGAGGCTGGCTAGGGTAGAGAAATGGTTTTAGCTAGTATTGTTATCTATTATGCTTGTATACCTGTATTCAGCTATATATATATATAAAATGTAGAAGCAAACTGTCGCATTGTTATTCCTGGTAAGACAAAGTCTTAAGAAACTGTAAGAAGTAAATACACAACGTGAAGCAGAAGTAAAGACAGCTAGAGACAAATTCTAGACGATCACAAGTCTACAGAAATATGTAGTAAGAAAAGATGCATGGGTCGTACGTAGGATGTGGCGACCGGTTTCCGACATATGCCCACTCTCCACGTCAGACAGAAGACCTATGGTGCTACACTTGTGACCAATCTTGCTGTGAGATTTTGGATTCGCTGAAGGCGATTTAGTTGATTTTGGGGTAGGCCGGTGAGAAGAATATATAAAGACTATTACATTAGTCTAGTCGCGATAGAATTAGTGATCGCGCTAGAGCTGAAGCTGAATCTTGGGTGAGAACATGGCGGATGGAACTGATGTCCATCAGATGGCAAAAGCATTTTCTACACAGATCATCAACTTGTTTTATAAAAGTCAGACCACTATCCAATAAAACGCCTAAATTTTTGACCATTGATGTTGGCGGAAACTCCATATCTCCCATGTCGAATTTTAAATTTGACAAGTCCGATAATCGAGTTTTGGAGCCAAAAAGGATAACTTCGGTTTTAATTTGTCCGATACTGGTAGCCATTTTTGTGAGCACCTCTGTTTGATCTGATCCAGGAGTAAAACATCTAAAAGTTGGGTATCGTCAGCATAAAGATGGTGACACACAGAATTTTGAATTAGAACATCTCCAGGAGACAGTATATTTTATTGCATTATTGCTTCCCAATACTTAATACTTCTGGAAGCTGGAGGAATTGACATGTTGAGGATTGATGAAGATCTTCACGTGACATTTCCGATGATGACGTAGTATGATGTATTCAATTCATTCTTCATTAAGACAGCGAGAGCCGTAGTCAGTTGTACGGGTGGACATGAGACACTATGTCCCTCTTTTTAGTCGATTTTCCCACCCACCTTTTGTGCGTATATATACCCTAAGCATTACTTTTGGACGTATATACCCTACCCATTACTTTTGTATGTACAATACCCAAACAATGACTTTTGTGCGCATATACCATACCTATTACTTTTGTGCGTCTATACCCTGCCCACTACTTTTGAACGGATTTACCTTACTTATTACTTTTAGACGTATATACCCTTCCAACATAATATTACGTTCGGACGTATTTAACCCACCTATTACTTTTCCAGATGATACCACGGAGGGACCAGGGGAGCCGAAGTCCCCTGTACCTGGCCTTGGGACCGATGGGATTCTCTTCTCCCGGTGCGAAATTTCTTTTGAAAAACTGACTGTAAATGATGTTTTTATGGTATGTCGTGGTGTTTTCAGCTTATGCACTAATTCTATGTCTGACAGTCTTATCGGAAATTAAATTTTGAACACTATATTAAATTCAGTAACTCTAGAAACATTTTTTTTTCCAGTGATATTCACAAGAACAAAAATCGCCATATTTGGATTCAATTTTCATTGTCGTTTTAAATTTACCCCATGCGGGCGATTCATAATTAGTTTTTTGGATAGAATTTGAACTCCACAACCTTAATACCCTTATATAAGACTTATTACAAGTCATATCTAACGGAAGTAAAAAACTTAATGACGATTAATTAAAATTCCGCCGTATGGGATTTCTTTGTGGTTGCCATTTTGCATATCTGCCATCATGGATTCTCAGATTTTATTTGAGATCAGAATTGAACCCAGCGACACCGAAAACCATATAAATGATATGTTACAAGTCATATCCAACGGGACAAAATGACGATTAACTTAAAATCCGTTATTTTAGATGCCATTTTGAATTTCTTCTGTATTGGATTTTCAAAATTTATCTTTAAATTCACAAACATCAAAATCCTTATAAAAGACATAGCAAAAAGTCATATCTTACGAGATTCTCGCTGGTTATATTGAGAAAATGCCATTGCATTACTAAATTTGAAAGAAATAGCTGGATGGCACCATATTTGGGGGGCTTTTTTGGGTCCAATTGTTGTTTCAGCACATTTCGCCTCTATCACCATTGTGTTTGAAGAATTTAAAAAAAAGAAGGTATTCTCCAACCTCTAAATCACCGTTATTACGAGATAAAGCTCACTGAAATATGCAAGTCAGAAAAGAAATATGAAATGAAATGGTGTTTAACGTCCTACTGTTTTGCTCCGAACTGGGCTAATGAAGACAGGCAATGCTATACAGTGTGCTATGGGGGAAATTTTGCCCGGTACTCTTATATCGAATTCCAACTATTAAGGGATCTTTTACGTGCACGCCAATGTGTACACGGGACCTCGGTTTTCCGTCTCATCCGAATGACTAGACAGCTGTCCTTGTCAGGCACTGCGTACTGCATCACTGACAAGGGGGAACCACGCCGGAAAATCTGGGTGAACTTTCTCGACCAATGCAGGGATCGAAGACCCAACCTCCAGGCTTACCCACTTAGTCACCGTGACCCCCCAAGTCAGAAAAGGGAGCGAGTCTGATGTATTGGGGTCGATTCGGAAAGTTTTAGACGATTGCGGGGAGGGATAATGTTTTACCCCAAACAAATTGCAAATGAGACCAATACAGTTTGGTTCAATTTTACCCCAAACAAATTGCAATGATATGTATGTTAATTACGAATTTGAGTATGATGTTGTCTGACATACATATCACTAAATGAAGTGCCAAAACGACCGCATGTCAAAATTAACGCACTTAATGATAGAATCATCTCGTGTAATGACAAAACTACATAATCATCTAAATTTTAGCAACACAAGGCAGTAATGGGGTTCCATACAGGGGTATTCCCTGATGAATACAATGTTTTAAGAAGGATTTGAAGCAAAATTATGATAGATTAATTAGTTTGACTATGTTTTTTTTTGTTCAAATATATCATTGCCGCTGCCCGGGCAAAATTTCCCTCATAGCACACTGTATGGCATATGCCTATCTTCATTAGCCCAGGTTAGGAGCAGAACAGTAGGACGTTAAACCCCATTTCATTTCATTTCATAAAGAACTGTTGTCTCTGTCAAGCCAACTGCTGAAGGACGGACGTTGGTGACAACATAATACTAGCCCATGGTTTTCTATAAAATTCTTAGAAAACAACACTGTTTAAAATTGAGTTTTAATTTATGTTTAATATATACATGTACATTTTAATTCATAAATACATTATATAACATATTCATCCCCAAGTACCACACTAATTAACAGAAATGACTAGGCTTCTTCCTTTTACTATCAGCATTGTCAGTTATTGCTCCAATTAACTCAATATCATCCACAGTCTTATTGGTCAATTCAAATCAAAATTGATGTTATCTTACTGTGAAAAGATGGGCTTCTGATATCTAATATTTAAGACAAAATGAAAATTTGAAAATTGGCACACAATTGTGTGCTAAGAGCTAAAACACTAATATTTGAGACCTAGAAATTGACTCAAATACGTCGCAAAGCATATAATAATGTAATATGAATGTATATAAACTGTTTTTACTGTAATTTATAATAAGTTATGTTTGACGAAATACGTCAGTAGTCTCAATCAAATGGCAATCTCTAGCGTCTAGTCTACACAGATAGTATTTATTGCGCATGCTCTCCAGATAAGAATATGCTGTCACCATTTGACCTGACTTGTGGAATACGTCCAGCCTCGTTCTTCGAGTCCCTTGTTACAAATGGCTCTGAAACGCATTATGGTACACGATTTGTGACCAATGGTAAAATGTTTATTTTGTCTTTAAGGGGCTAAATTGCTAATATTTGGGACCTAGAACACAATCGTTTGTCTTTTATTGTTATTTCTAATCAGTTATGTTTGGCGAAATTCAGCAGAAGTTTCAATCGAATGGCAATCTCTAGAAACTTGGCTACTTTAAATATTGTATATCAGAAGCCCATCTTTTCCCAGTAAGATCACAAAATCAATGTTGATTTAAATTGACAAATAATTTGTGTTTTCAATGTCAAAGACTTTATTGAATGATACTGAGTTAGAGACTTTGCTACTTAAGCACATCCAAGTATTCAAACGCCAACAGTGGGACTGGTGATCACTGCCCCAAAATGAACAGATGGCACTTATTGGTTACTGTAATTGCAAATTTATGCTTTTATAAACCATCTAACAATCAACTTACTTATAATTATCACTCTGCTTAAACTATTGAATTTACTCAAGGTATTGACATGAAAACTATACATTTCATCAGTCCCCCTTAATTGTGTTCCAAAGCAATTGCAAATCAATTTGCTCACCTCTGCTGAGCAGAAGTTGAAAATGCTCATCAATGCATCATTCAAACTCAGTCCAAAGTTCCAACTAATTAAATTTCTTATCTCTATTTAGCCTAAGTAACAAATGCTCATGATTGAATTTAGTCAAGGTATTGAAGTACCGTAATGCAAACTATATGCCAAGCTTTATCACTCTCATCCATTTAGAAAAACTTAAACTATTGTTTCCCTGATTAACCTGAACAGAATACAGCTGTTTAATTTGGTCATGCATGTTCCATTAGTTTGGCATATGTTGGTACATAGTATGTGACTCTAATTAGGGCATATTTTGGAGCCAGTTATAACTGAATAATCAGATACAAAGGAATGTTTCTTTAATGTTATATACATGTTAAAATTACAACATTCATTCTTAACTTCAGAACAACAAGTGCCGTGACAATAATTAACAATCTATGTCACATCTTGTCAAAACTTCAAACAGTGGTAACTTCACTTAAGAATAAAGTAATTTGTATAAAATTTTGGAATTATTATAGCAAGAATGGTAAAGCAGTGGACACATTAGCCAAATGATTCGGCCGAATCTATCGCCATCGGCGTCGACATTTGCCTAGCGTGTCCAGTCATTAAACCAAATTTCTCTCAGACCGAATGATTCGCCCGAATCAAACATGTTTGATATATTCGCCTGGTGTGTCTGCTTCGCCAAATCCTTCGCCGAATCCTTCGCCCGATTGTAGAATTCATTAGCCACTCACCACTAATCATCCTCTCATATAGAGAAGTCATGTGATTATTTGAAGACATAGACACTGCCATGTTTAATCATGTGACGTGAAAGATGATGCAATCGACTGGTGAATCGTGCGAAGCATTCGCCTAGTGTGTACACCAATTCAGCCGAATAAATTCAGTGCCGATTGATTTGGCCGAATAATTCGGCTAATGTGTCCACCACTTAAGCTCTTTATCTAACTTTTACATAATGCATCTTTAAATCAAACATATAGACTCTTTGCCAAAAACAAAGCTTTTCTCGAAAACTGGTTCAACTGCAAATCAAATCTATTTGAAATAAACATGAACCTTTGACATAAATTACTAAACAATCCCTGCTTCCCCCCGCACCCCACTAAATTTCCAACAGTAGCATATAATATAATATAATATAATATGTCGACTAATAACAAATCTGACTGGGAAAAGACTAGTGGTCTGCTTATATCACAGAATATTAATCCCAATGCTTTTGATCATGATCAATAGCTGTTAAATATATGTACATGTACATAAGTAAACAGATGATTACACTTCCTACCTCATATATCTTGAATATAACATTAGATAAAAATAAAATTTCTGTACCATATATACAGGTTTTTTAATATCTTGTGTGTAAAAACAATCAAAAATATATATATTAAAATTGGGATAAAGCTAAATATTATATTCTTTGAAAGACAATCTTACTGGCTGCGAAATGAAGTGGAAGTCTTGACTTCAACCTAACCTTACTTGATCAACTCAGGGACACCATTAATTACTTATGTATATCTATGTTTAGCCAGTTTAGGTATATCTTGCTAATCTGAGGTTTACTGCTTGACATAATTTTGAAGTGGAAGCACCGATTTCCATTCTAGTGGGCACCAATACATACATTTTTGACCCATGATAGCAAAATGAGTCATGGGTCGCACAAGTAGATTTCTAATTATGCGCCAATTTGTGTCCGAGTGCAAAAATTTTCAAAATTTGGTTTTGATCATTTTCGAATACTTTATCATGTTAAAATTCAGCCCGCCACACTTTACTAGCAAGAAAACGTCGATATGTAGCAATTAGTAAACAGTAGGCTAGTTTAAAACAGTAGTTTCCTCCAAGTAGGTTACTTGAAAGAAAGCCATAATTGACCAATTTTGCTGGAAAATGTAGCCATTTTGCCGAAGGAAGCCCTGCATGTAACCTATACCAAAACAGCCAGCGAAATCCTCTCTTTCTATTTATAGTACACATTATAATATTCAACACCACTACTCAGCCAATAGCAGCTTTAAAATAGTAAACAAATCCGCCTTGTTGCTATGTGACCTCCTGGAAGTCATGACCCGGTGATGTCAATGACGTGACCCGTCTATCGCAACGTCATCTCAAACAAGATGACGGCTGCCTTTCGTGTTTTCGTCAACAGACAGAAAATTATAAAGTTATGAATTAAAACTGTAGTCATTTTTTAAAAAAAATTGCATAGTTTTAGTAAACAAACCTCCCTTGTTTAAATGGTGCTTTTTTTCGAAAGAGCAAACCGTCGCGAAATATATCAACGGTTTGACAGCTTTTAATTTGTCTGCATCGGCCAGTGTTCAACAATGGAACGATCTCGTTTTGGATTATTTTTGTGACCTTTATTGAAATTACGTGTGTAATGTTGAAATCTTATGTTCTTAATAATTGTGTCAAGTTTAGTGTTAGTTTGGCATTTTTAACCATGACTTTTGACATGCATAACAGAGATTTTGAAAATAATCTTTAAACAAAGTTTTCTCAAAATAGGCGTTTCTGGACTCTCGTATCTTGACGATGGAGTAAGGTAGAGCAATGACTTTGGGTTCATTAGACAGCTATGACGTTCTCATTAAGATGACATATATAACTCAATTTTGAATTTTTGGTCATTTTGCTGTCATCAGTCACATTTTTGTTCCTTTATGTATATTATATATATATAAATATATATTTACATCTAAATCTATAGACATCAATGTTTGTTTTAAATTAACCTGTTTAAATAGAGTGAGTTAAAGATAGAATGAGTAGGTAGGTAGAACATATTATATCAGTCATGTTCAACATACAATTAATGCATCATCATCCTATATAAAAGACTTATAAGAAAGTACATGTAAAAGCGAGCTAAAGAATTGAGACACCAATTTTTTTAAAATCAAAGTGGCTTAATTTAATATTTACATAATGACCTATTGGTAAAATGAATGCTTAGACTATAGGTAAATGATTCATATAATCAGATATATCTTCGATAATAATATAAATGATATGCATGCACTCGCAAATTTAATGTCAATTTTTCTCCGTAAAATATACAAAATCCTTTAAAATAAGTAACTTCAAGAAAAATAAAATAAAATATTTAGACTAGGGAATATAAATGAACTATTTGTAAACATTTATCTTAACATGTGTTTTATCAATAAAATAAAACCAAGTACGAACAATCCAAACCATAAGACAGAATTCAAAGTCCTAAAAAACGTTACAGGCAAAATAGTGTATTCAAACAAAATAGTGTAATCAGCAAATGGACTGCTCCTCGTGTACAAAATATACGACAAACAGTGGTAACAGGTGTCTGGAAGAGTAAGCTTACCCATAAATGCCCATTTCCACAGAAAAATATAGGAAGTCCTTTAAAAATTTCCACATATAGGACTAGAGAATATACATGAACTACATGTATTTGTAAACTTTTATCTTTGCGTGTGTTTTATGACTATTATAGAACAATATGTGTACAGTAAAAGAACATGAAAAATAAAATAAATAGTCAATTTACTGCATCGATTTTTTAACACACTAGCGGATGGTCTGGTGCTGCACAGGTTGTGCCCGGTACTGAAAGTAGTATAACTCTGAAACCGGATGTGCAGCGCCACCAGGCCTATGTCAGATTTCAACCTCGGGACATCTCTAGTGTAGCCGCCAACCCTGAACAGACAAACAAACGACACTTACAAATATTTGTATAGATAATGCAGAACAGACATCCATCCACAAGTAAAAATTTATCTCAATTTAAATTTGAATGATAATTTGGTGACTATGATTTAAACGATACAACAAAACAAGAACAACCAAAATCAACATTTAAGTTTGGGGTCAAGTAATTCTTTATGAATTTTATACATTTCTTGTATGGTATTTTGATGGCCTGTAATAGTATTTCTGTAGGCACAACCAGTAGTTGCTGGCTTGGTATAATGAAAACCCCAATCATTTATTTGTGGGATTTTAGCTCTTCTTGCACACAGTCCCGTTATATAAATATCTTCCAACCAAAAGAGTTTTATCATTTGTGATGCCTTATAAAGATCAGGAACAGCTTTTACGCTCATGGAATATGCTGTTCCGGAAGTATATCTTGGATATGTTTTTTCAGAAAAATCTTTATGAGGGGTGTACCATTTTGATTTCTTATTTTGATTTGGAGGTGCATTAACAAATACATAGCCCAAAATAAATTTTTCAAGGGTCTGTTTTTTTAATGCTCTTAGTAAATTAACAACATTAACATACATATCGTCGTCTGTTTTTAAAGCGTATTTGGCTGTTAAACAAAATGAGTTAATCCATTTAAGCATAGCCTGTGATTTGATACTCAAATTCCTGTAACTGTCTGTAAAACTTTCTTGAATGATATCCTTATAATGATTGCTTTCATTGAAAATTTGTTTTTGAAGATCTTCTGAACCACCACTTCCAATCAAAAACAGTACCGTTATATTGGACTTGGTACCCCTTCCCACTGCCCCCCAGGTATTCCTGATGGCTTCACGTTCTTGCAAATTTTTCATACTTGTACAAACAATCATGATTAGTACTGTGTTTGCATGACATGCCCCTGGCTGATTTAAAATATAAGAATAATTATGTGGATTGACAATTGTCTCTATCGTATTTGCTGTGGAAATGTCTGTCCGTTCGGGTTTTCCAGTTTTTATGCCTGGGTGGTGTCTTGTCAGTGATAAAGTGTTCTGTAGGTATAAAATGCCATTTATAACCAAACACAAGATAAATACACCACTTAAACAATGCCAAACCAGCGAAAAGCGAGGCAAAGCACAGCAAACACGCTTTAACCTGAAATCCAAAGAGAAACCATTAAGGAACACCCATTAAAATTAATTACCCTACATTTATGTAAACAATCACTTAGTGTTAGATACTATACATGTACTTACAATTTTTCCAAATGAAAGAAGTGAATGAGAATTATTTTAATTTTTATGCTTTATACCTTGATAGTTTTGTTTATAATACATGTGGTAATGAAAGCTATAATAGAATTAAAAATTTCAATACTTAATAAATTTGGGTCAATTATATTTTTAATGATCAGTGAAAGTGAAAGAAATGAAATCGAAACATGTTGTCTTTAACTGTGTAAACAAAATTCATGTTTTCCAGGGAAAAACCTGGGCATACTCAATAATGACCTGGAAAGCAGGTGGGGTTTTATCCTAATTTGCATGAGGTGTTAGTTGTTATAAGCTTATTTAAAAGGAATGTAAAAAAAAAGATACATTACCAGCTGTCTTTCTGGCCAATACTGCCAATCATCTTTAATACAGGTGACAATAGGTCTTATATCAAGTGCCATCCAATATCTGTCTTTATTATGCTATCAAACTGTACCAGTCAATAGACCCACCTGAAAAGTAAACATGAAGATAATCTATAAATCATTCAGTATTTCTAGAGTTAAATTGAGACTTCACTTCAATATTTATATTTTTAGGTCAGCTCTTTTCTTCTGAATTTTACACATTCCACCATTTTCCCAGTAACTTGACACTTCCTCGTCTCCAATGTAATACTTTGATTAGTAATGGCATAGGCTATCTATATCATATTTTTGTTTTGATGGATTGAGCAGGAGTTGGCTTGTTTACTAATTTTTACAAATGATTATACTTCACACTGGCTTCCAACCAAATGAACACATAAAGAAGTTAGCCAGTGTAATTTTCATGTAGTGGACATACCTGAAACATGATTACCAGATTGACCCAAATCACAGAGGCATAGATAGGCTATTTTAAAAACAGAGATAGGCAAAACAAATTAACTGATAATGGGGCCCCGAATAGGGCTGTAAAAAAAAATATTGCTATAGGGCTGTAAAAAAAATATTGCTATATTGCTATTGCAATACGATCGTCTGTGATTCACTGTATCGATACATTTTGGTTGTATTGATATTTTTCTACTTTTATTTTATATTCAAATGTTAGCTAGACTGTTTATAAAGACTTCATAATCAATCATATTATTTAGGCTTTGCAGTAAACAATAAGCCTGCAAAAACAAGATCTAAGTTGTAAAAACACATAAAAAGAAATGTTTATTTACATAATCAGTCATATTATTTTTTATAGACATTGCAGTAAAAGTAAAAAAAATAAGTGTTTCAGACCAAATTTGTAGTAAAAACAATAAAATTATTCAAAATAAAAAAGTGCTTTGTGATAAACCCTGACTTTATCAAAGTATTGCAATACTTTTTGTCACAATATATTGCAATACGATTTTTGGCCACAATAGACAGCCATAGGGCCGAATCCACCCACTCCTAAATGCATAATTCACAATCAAACTACTCAATGTTCTTGCTCAGCTTAAGCAGAAAATGCTCATTATCGAACTTAGTTAAGTTATTGATGTACGTACATTATGTAATGAAACATCACTCTTACCAATCAGAATCAAAGTTAACGCGTTCCAAAGTCTCAATCAATCAATTTCTTTAAGTAGGCTTAGCCTTATCGGAAAAGGCTTGTCATGAAATTTGGTCAAGACATTCAGCTCATGAACATCTATCAAAAGTTTAAACAATCTACCTAAATTAGAAGTCGAGTTATTGTGTTCCAAAGTCACAACAAATCATTTTGCTTGTCTCTTTTTAGCCTAAGCAGAAAATATTCATCAATGAACTTGTGCAAGGTATTGGGTGTAATGAAATTATGCCATCATAAACCATACAACCACAGCCTCAGCAGCAGTTAACTTTTCTGAACAAAGTCAATTCTTGCATGGTGGAAGGAGGCAAACAAAATTTTTGCTTTTTTCTTAGGATTTTTTTGAGAAGAAAAACAAGGTAAGGTGGACCAAAAAGTGCAATTTGTTTGTGACATTCTTATTTCCATTTTAAATGTTTGCATAATATTAATATTGTCACTTCTCAATAGTATAGTTTTGATTTATTAGCCCCGGCAAAGAGATGCAAGAAAAGAAACGCATGGTCGTTTCAATAATTAGTTTGTACATTATTAGTGGATAATTATATGATTCAGGTGAGACAGGCAGTTAAAACTTTATTTTTTACTTAATTATTCACCACAAAACTTAAAATTATAGCTAATGTCAGTCTCTAACTCAATATCATTCAAAGTCTTCCACATTGAAAATACAAATTATTTGTCAATTTAAATCAACATTGATGTTATGATTTTACTGGGAAAAGATGGACTTCTGATATCCAATATTTAAGACAAAATAAAACTTTATATAGTTTATATACATTCATAATACATTATTATATGTGTTGTCAATTTCTAGGTCCCACATATTAGCCATTTAGTTCCTTTAACTTTTAAGACAAAATAAACATTTTACCATTGGGATTCGTGTACCATAATGTGTGTAAGACAATGGTATACCATATACAGGCAGGTGTATCAGACATCTAATAACTAAGTTGGTTAATTAGTCACTATCTCCTCATATTATTACATGTAGATAATATTATATGATTGTCCGTTAAATGAAGCCTACTAATGTATATGTATTATAACTTGTGAATACCTGTTAAATACTATAAGGTTTTTGATAACACCATGACTATTATAATTGATCTTCTCTGGTACAAGCATAACTCTGACAGAGAGAGACAGGCTTACCGAGAGGCAAGCTTATCGAGAGACTGTAGACCGGAGACTGCTTTTCAAGACAGAACAAGGGCATGTGAAAATGGAAGCAGATGTGAATTAAGAAGATGGCCATAATGAGTACAATCTTTTATATGTTATGTTCCTGTGTGATGTTTGTTCCTGCATTGCAGAAATAAAGAAGTCAAATCCACAGTCATTGTTATCGCCATTTGTAACAAGGGACTCAAAGAACGAGGCTAGACATATTCCACAAGTCATGTCAAACGGTGATGTCATATTTTTATCTGGTGAGCATGACCAGTAGACTAATATAACCAGATACTGGTGATTGCCAATTGATTGAGACTTCTGTCATATTTTGCCGAACTGATTTGAAATTAGAGTAAAAACAGAAATGATTGAATAAAAATCAGTTTATATACATTCAAATTACATTATATGCGTTGCTACTCATTTGTGTCTATTTCTAGGGACCAAATATTAGCAAATTAGCACCTTTTTAAAGTTTAAGTATTGAGACTTATTCAGGGCTATAAATTCATGCGAATCTCCGAATTTAATTCTCACAAGACCTTATGCTGCGAAGGTAAAAAATCTCAGGGAATTGTCGAGTCTGACTATTGAATGTCAGTCAACGTGTTTTGAATCAATTTTTTTTTAAATAATGCAAGTAATTATGTCAACATATCCTTTCCATAAGTTTAACCCGAACCCGAATGCCAATATTGCCTGCAGAAGGTAAATTTCAACATTAGTAATTTCCGCCGTTTTCCGTGGGTAGTCGTAACTTTCCGTCAATAAGCAATCCGTGACGTCATTTTAGTCCTTCGGCACTAAAATGACGTCACAGATTGATTATTTACAGAAAGTTACGACTGCCCACGGAGAATGGCAGAAATTACTAATGTTGAAATTTACCTGTTGCAGGTAATATTGACATTCGGGTTCATGTTATACTTATGGAAAGGATATGTTGACATAATTACTTGCATTATTTAAAAAAATTATGAACCTTTTCCGGTGACCTTTAATTTATAGAATACTACATGAAAAATATTTGTTGTGGTTTTGTTTTACTGTTAACTTCTATCTTATAATTTTGACGAGATTAGATAAAGAGCTGGTAGTTCTCACTATAATAGTTAAAGATAGGTTGCCAGGCAACAAAACATACGCCCACAGCAGCTAAATCGTCTGAGCGGTCGACAAGGGTTGTCGCATATTTATCCCTTTGTAGGTAATTGAGGGCTTTTAAAAGACAGTTCCGTACAGATCAGATTATAATTTTTGCCGTTTGAGGGTCCACAAGGTTCTACAAACTGAAACAAGGGTCTCAACTCTGGAAGTAATCTACAGAAATTGTTGAAATTTGACAGGCTTTTTTCGTTTTACTAATTTAAATAATACATATAAAATTCATACAGATTAGACGATCACTTTTGTCACAAGGTTTACAACCGCCATAACTCTAGAAAATTATTGACGGAAGTTGCTGAAATTCAATTGACCTCTGTTTCACAAATTTAAATGATGCATATAAATTTCATACATATTGGATGATAACTTTCATCAATCGAGCATTAACAAGGTTGAACAAAGTGAAATAAGGGCCATAACTCTAGAAGTAATAAATGGAAATAGCTGAAATTCAATAGGATTCTTCTCTTTACTAATTTAAATGACGCATGCAAATTTCATACAGATCGGCAGATAATTTTTGATGTTCGAGTGTTCACAATGTTCAATAAAGTGAAACAATGGCCATAACTCTTAGACGTACTAATAAACAGAAGTTATTGAAATTAAATTTGTTTTACTAATTTAAATCATGCATATAAATTTAACAAAGATTGGGTAATAACTTGTGGCATTAGAGCGTTCACAAGGTTCAATAAAGTGAAACAAGGGCCATAACTCTAGACATAATAAACGGAAATTGCTGAAATTCAATCGGTTTCTTCGTTTCACTAATTTAAATAATGCATATAAATTTCAGAAAGATAGGATGATAACTTTTGGCGTTCACAAGGTTAAACAAAGTGAAACAAGGGCCATAACTCTAGAAGTAATAACCGGAAATTGCTGAAATTCAATATGATTCTTCGTTTCCCTAATTTAATTATTGCATATAAACTTCACAAAGCTCTGATGCTAACTTTTGGCATTAGAGCATTCACAAGGTTCAACAAAGTGAAACAAGGGCCATAACTCTAGATGTAAAAGATAGGTTGCCAGGCAACAAAACATGCCCACAGCAGCTAAATCGCCCGGCAGTCGACAAGGGTCGTCACATATTTATTCTTTTGTAGGTAATTATTAGGGGAATTTAATAGACAATTTCATACAGATGACATTATAATAATTTTCGTTGTTTGAAGGTTCACAAGGTTCTAAAAACTAAAACAAGGGCAGTAACTCTAAAAGCAATCTACACAAATTGTTCAAATTCGACAGGCTTTTTTCGTTTTACTAATTCAAATAATGCATATAAATTTCATACAGATCGGATGATAACTTTTGTTGTTCGAAAGTTCACAAAGTTCAACAACGTAAATCAAGGGCCATAACTCTAGACGTAGTTGACGGAAATTGCTGACATTCAATAGGCTTGTTCGTCTTCATTTCACTAATTTAGATGATAACTGAAACTCAATAGGCTTGTTCGTTTTACTAATTTAAATGATACATATAAATTTCATACAGATCGGGTAATAACTTTTGTCATTAGACTTAGAGCATTACAAGGTACAACAAAGTGAAACAAGGGCCATAACTCACGGCGTAATTAACGGAAATTGCTGAAATTCAATAGGATTCTTCATTTCACTAATTTAAATGATGCATATTAATTTCAAACAGATCGGTTGATAACTTTTGTCATTAGAGCGTTCACAAGATTCAACAAAGTGAAACAAGGGCCATAACTCTAGATGTAATAAACGGAAATTGCTGAAATTCAATAGGCTTCTTTGTTTTACTAATTTAAATAATGCATATAAATTTCATACAGATCGGTTGATAACTTTTGTCGTTAGAGCGTTCAAAAGGTGCAACAAAGTGAAACAAGGGCCATAACTCCAGAAGAAATTAACGGAAGTTATTGAAATTAAAAAGGCTTCTTCACCTCACTAATGCAAACAACATATATTAATTTCAAAACAATCGGTTGATAAATGTAGTCTGTAGAGTGTTTACAAGAAATTGTGAAGATGGACGGACGGGAGCGACAGCAATATACGATCCACATTTCCATGTGGGCATATAAAAACGGAAATTATTGCAATTAAATAGGCTTTTTCATCTCACTAATAATGCAAACAAGATATATCAATTTTAAAACAACTGGATAATAACTTTTGGCGTTAGAGCGTTCACAAGAAATTGTGGATGATGGATGGATGGACGGACGGACGGACGGACCGACAGACGGCAATATACGTCCACATTTCTATGTGGGTGTATAAAAAGGTACTGAAAATCGAAAAAAGTCGAAAAATCAGATGAAAATTGTGACCTCCAGAGGGTCCACAACCCTGATACACAATATTTTGAACCTATTTGAGAACAAGGGGCGGCCATTTTGTTTGTCAGTTTCGGTTCCGATTTTTACGAAATTCGAACTCAACCATCCTTAGAGTGTAACAGTGATATATTGTAACGTTTTTTTTAAATCGGATAAAAATTGTGACCTCTATGGGGTTCACAAGCTAAAAACCTGATTTTTCGTACAATCAGGGGCCATAATTCAGGAAGTTATGGTCCAATATGCGCGAATATTCAAGTTTTTAAACCAAATCGGATAAAAATTGTTCACAAGCTAAAAACGTGATTTTTCGTACAATCAAGGGCCATAATCCATGAAGTTACAGTCCGATACATGCCAATATCGAAAGGAACCGAGATCTTAAGGTGATAAACAGGTGTACCTATATTTCAAGTTTCATTGAAATCGGATAAAAATTGTGACCTGTAGAGTGTTCACAAACAACTGTGGACGGACGGACAAGGGACGACGACAATATACATCCACATGAAAATGTGGGCGTACAAAACTGTTCAAAGTGAAATTCAATCAGTGACATTAAATTGTATTCAACCTGTTGTTATTGATTATAATATAATGTCACCACCAGCTGTTCTTATTGATGTTTTCATTTTGAACTAATGTTTACGTGATTGAGCTTTTAATAAGTATTATTATTTATTATTATTTAATACATTTATATAGCGCATCTTTCACCAAAGTGTTCAGATGCGCTTAACAATAACAAAGTAAAATACAATTTATAATAAAAAGAAGTTCCTAAAAATTCAATTTATAATAAAAAAGAAGTTCCTAAATAAAAAAGTAAGAAGAGAGAGACAATGTAAAAATGACATAAATTTTTTTAAAACTACCCATAAAACAGTCAAATGTGTAAAATTAGTAAAAAGCCTGTTTGAATAAATGAGTTTTCAAATGCGATTTGAATGTAATGATGGAAGGTGATTTCCGAATAAGATAAGGTAATTTATTCCAAATTAACGGTGCATAAAATGAAAAGGCCCTCTCGCCATAGGATGCTAGTCTGGCTAGAGGTTGTACTAACTGTAAATCGTCATTAGAGGATCTTGTGTTTCTCACCGAAGTGCGGATTTGTATCAATTCAGATAAGTATGGGGGTGCAAAACCATTGAGACATTTGTATGTAATTAACAATATTTTAAAATCAATTCTGAATGATACAGGAAGCCAATGAAGGGTGTAAAGAATTGGAGTTATGTGCTCATGATAACCTACACCAGTAACCAGACGTGCTGCGGAATTTTGCAGTTTTTGTAGTTTTGAAATTAGCTTATCCGGTAGACCAGTTAACAAGGAGTTCAAACAATCAAGACGTGAAATCACAAGAGATTGAATTAAAGTTCTAGTAGCATCAACAGATAAATATTTACGTATTCTGCTGATATTGCGCAGATTATAATAGCCATTCTTACAAATATTATTAACATGATTTTCCATTGTAAAATGTGAGTCAAAGATGGCTCCTATGTTTCTTGCAGTTAGTGATGGAGATATATCAGTTTTACACACACGAATTGAAGGATCAGAGTCAACTTTACTAAGCACATTTTTAGAACCAATTTGTAGATATTCAGTTTTGTCATCGTTTAATTTAAGAAAGTTTGAAGTCATCCAATTTTTAATGTCATCTATGCACTGTTCCAGTTTTGACTTTGAAAAAATGAGATGATTGTCAACAGAGGGTTTGAATGATAGATAAATCTGAGTATCGTTAGCGTATAATTGAAAACACAGCCCATGTTTACATACTATGTCTCCAAGAGGTGAAGTATAAAGACTAAACAGTATCGGTCCCAGAACTGATCCTTGCGGAACGCCACAAGAAAGAATGTTTTTGGGTGAAGCGTGATCACCAACTATAACTGTTTGATCTCGGTTTGTTAGATACGAAGTAATAAGTTCAAGAGCATTTTCTTTGATTCCAAACACATTATGTAGTCGATTTAGGAGTATAAGATGGTCAACAGTGTCGAAAGCTGCTGTTAAGTCCAGTAGTACAAGTAGAACACATTCACTCTTATCTACAGATAAGTTGATGTCATTGTGTACACGTATGAGAGCTGTTTCAGTGCTATGGTATTTTCTGTAGGCGCTTTGGAACTTTTCCAATAAATCATGATCACTTATATATGGGACACTAACTGTTTTGAAATACAACGTTCTAAAAGCTTCGATATAAAACTTAAATTAGATACTGGTCTGTAGTTTCTTTCAAGATTTATGTCAAGACTGGGCTTTTTGATTAAAGGAAAAACAATGGCATGCTTAAATACATCAGGGACACAATTTTCACTTATAGCAGAATTGATGATATCGGTAATAACCGGAGAAAACACATTAAGATTATCCACTATGAATTTGGATGGAATTGGGTCCAAAGAACAAGTGGTTTTAGAAGATTCTTTCACTAATTTTTTAATATCATTCTCACTGACAGTCTGAAACCTGCACAAAGTCGGAGGGATTTGAGAATCGCAATTGTGATTTTCACCGCCTGCTAATAGCGTTGGTTTTAATTCCGAGCGGATTCTTTGAATTTTCTCTGAAAAATAGTTTGAAAATTTACATGCAAGTTCAAATTGATTATCAGATTCTGGTAGAATTGTTTGACCATGTGTATGATCAAGAAGAGATTTTGATATTTTAAATAATTCACGTTGCTTATTTTTACTGTTTTCAATACTATTAGAAAAATATGATTTCTTGCACTCTTTTATTTTATAGTTGAGTTCATTCTTCTTAGATTTAAAGATTTCCTTATGAACATGAAGTTTGGTCTTATACCAAGTTTTCTCTGCCTTAGTTTTCGACTTTTTTAGTTCAAGTAACTCATCAGTAAACCAAGCATTATTTGGTCGGATAGTAATAGTTTTGGACTTGAGTGGTAGAATTTGATCAAGAACATCTACTATTATACTATTATAAGCACTGGCTTTTTCATTGACATCTTCGAGTTGAGAAATTGAGAAATAATTAGCATTCTGAAGTTCATTAATAAAACACCCTTTATCAAGTTTCTTGAAGTTTCTAAAAGTGAGTGTTTTAGTTTGAAGTGGAGGCTTCCGAATACTCAGATTAAAATTAACTGGAAAATGATCAGAGATGAGATTATTCGAAACACTTACGTTATGAATAAGATTTTCACAGTCTCTAGATATAACTAAATCCAAAATATTACCACGATTATGTGTGGGAACTGAAACATGCTGACAAAGGGAATATGCTCTAAGTAAGTCATTAAATCGAACAGCGTTTGTATCGGTAAGATCCTGCAGGTGAAAATTAAAATCTCCAAGAAGTAGAAGTCTATTGCCCGAACATGCAAGTTTGTCTAAAACACTGGGAAATTCACTAAAAAAGTTCGAGACAGTTTCAGCATCTCTGCTAGGTGGACGATAAATGACAATAACAGATAATCTTTCGTTCATAACAGATATTATTGTGTGAAGATATTCAAAAGTTGTAAACTTAATCGGTTTCTGAACTGTAACACCAAGACTGGACTTGAAAATCAGAGCAACCCCTCCTCCGCGTGTTGGTCTTGGCTGATGAAAGATGGAATATCCATTTGGTACAAGATCGGTGATTGAAGCAGTGTCTGCATTTGCTGATAACCATGTTTCTGTTATAGCAAAAATGTCCAAATTGTTGTCACAAACATATTGGTTAAGTTCCTGAGATTTATTCCTAACTGACCTTGCATTAAATAGACATACTTGGAATTTAATTTCACATTTGAAGGAATTATTTGTCTTCTGCCTTTCAACATAAATCAGGTTTTTCGTATTTATATTGTCGCATTTAACATTTTGAGATGACTGAAATTTCACTTGTGTCAAATTGGTCAGGTTAACTCCTCTATTGTTTCTCTGTCTTTTAGTTTTATAGGTGATTCTTACTCTTGGTGTGAGATATAAACTTTGGTTAGGTTTTAACTCAGGGAACTCACTAAACAATTCAGTCTTACTGAGGATTTGATTACAGTTCAGGGATGAAAGTTGTTGTTTTGTGTAGGTGATCATAATTAGTGTTCACTTAAAATGACATTTAAAACTAAAACTGTCTATATCACAAAAAATACTAAAAATTTTAAAACTCCAATTTCTGCTATCCAAAGTTATAGTCCTTAAGAAGTAGTATACCAAAAATAAATCCAGTACTTAAAGCACAATGTTAGAAAATCAACATATTAGTCACCACCAAGACACAGTACTACCCTCAGGCAGCCATCTTGTTATACGATTCACATGAACTAATGTTTGTACGTAGCAGATTCTATTTATCATATCGATAGGTAAAAAATACAGGTGTAAAAAATGTAGGTATTTTGTAATTAGGGTTTCACACTGCGTAGCTTGTGTGAAACACTATTGTTTTTGTTAAAATTATTCTTATTATTATTAAGCTTTCATATTACATATGAAAGCTTATTGTTTCTGTTAAGATTATTATTGTTATTTTTTTTTTGTGTTTTGTCCACAAATCGGATTTCTCAGAATCTAACCATAGGATCGTTCTGAAACTTTTACCTATCCCCCCAAAAATGGGTGGTGGCTGTTGATTAAATATATTTTCAAAACGTTTTACGAATCCGAAATCACCGAATTTTACGAAGGAATGCATTTGACCTACAATGCTGTAACTCTGTGACTATTTGACCTATTTTACTAATTCTTTTTTCTTTGAGTATCTTGAAACATTTACTTCAAATCTGCAATTTCGGATTTTGGCATTTCGAAAATTCGTCGCTGTCATTTCGAACCGGAAGTTATTACCAATTTGACAACTTCTTTAATAGTTGTGCGATTTTCGTGATATTTAGAATGTTAGTAGATCTTGCCAATGCGACTTCAATGATGTCCTTGGAAATTTTCTAAATTATCTCCCCTTGGTGAAATTAAGGATCAAAGTTTTCAAAAAAATCGACGAAATATAGGTCAGATTGCCTTGAAATTTTTTTTCTGTACTAGCTAAGACAGTACTGATGAGTACACAAAATATGGAGTTTGTCGAGCAAACCGGAAGTGCCACCATCTCAAAATGTGAAAAGTCCATACGGCTTTTGCAATATTTTACTTAAAGACATAAGAGTTACATTTTCTGAATGCTTGAAGGAAAGCCTAAAAATCTATCGGTTTAGAATTTTGATTTAGGTCAACTGATGGACGCCATTTTGAAATGAAAATGAAAATTAGTGAAAAATCCACATTTATGGGCTTGAAAACATACACAATTGGTCGTGGCTTAGAGAATCTGTCTCCTATTACCGAAATTAATACATTTGAGGATAGCCTGGATCATGGTCGAATGTTTGGTATTTGAATATTTCAAAAATTTGAATTTCTCCTTTGATGTTTTCCGTGCCGACAAGGTTGTTTTCGAGTTTAGCTGGTTTTGATTTCGCGCATGCGCTACACAGGAACCAACGGTACCATGAGTACTAAATTCCGGCGAGCAACTTTTCACGTTGGTACCTAGGCACCCTGAAAATTTCAAGGTGATACCTGCATTCGTTCAAGTCGTTTGTTCTTGTCACCTGCCTTTCGTCGTTTTTTTTTTCTAAGTCAATTTACGGCTTCCATGAGGGGAAAAAAGTGGAATTTCGCCGTGACACTGGCACCGATTGTCCGAAAACCATGAAATTTGGACACAATACGCCCATTACCACCCCGGACTCTGTGCTTTACCCTCATTTTGATCCCATTAAAAAAAAAGAGTTTTAGCAAAAAAACGATTTTCGGAATTTAATATTGGTTTTAACCCTGAAATACCCAGACATGATATATTATTATAATCCCTATGAAATATTTTAATTATTTACTGCTATAATATGAATTATCACTTATTCCCCGTTAAATAAATATCGGTCACCTGGTGCCGCTGTACAACTTAAAGGACACTGGCCTCAAGTCAATTTACGGAGAGAGAGAGAGAGAGAAATGGGGTTTAACGTCCACTCGACACAAACTAGGTCATTTCGGGACCAACATATGGTTTAATTTTATTTCAATAATTCGCTTGCGCGTAGGGGTCTTTAGCAGTGGGAGGAAACCGGAGGACCCGGAGAAAACCCACAAGGTTGGACAGGCGACCCTACTCCTTGCGTCAATTTACGGCTTCCATGAGGGGAAAAAAGTGGAATTTCGCCGTGACACCGGCACCGATTGTCCGAAAACCATGAAATTAGGACACAATACGCCCATTACCACCCCTGACTCTGTGCTTTACCCCCATTTTGATCACATTAAAAAGAAAAGAGTTTTAGCAAAAAAACGATTTTCGGAATTTAATATTGGTTTTAATTAATTTTGAAATTGGAAATGCAAAGAGATTTTATCGCCTCTTCCGTATGTGATAGGTATTGGTACTATACACATTATCCTTAAAAGACAATTTTTTAAACTGACCGTAACGATGCATCGACACTAGAAACCGAAATCGCCTATTTTGACCTATTTTGACTGCTGGGGTATCTTTCCGTACGTGACAAGGAGTAGGTCACCCGTCCAACCTGTGTATTTTTTCAGGATCACCCGGTTTCCCCCCACTGCTAGACCCCTACGCGCAAGCGAATTATTGAAATAAAATTGAACCATACGTTAGTCCTGAAATGACCTAGTTTGTGTCGAGTGGTCGATCAACCCCATTTCGCTCTCTCAATTTTAGCACTCCTAACTCTAAAACTAAATGCAAGGAACGGGCCTATTTACAGAGGTCACAATTTTAACCTACATGCACACCTACATGATATACATATTATTATAATCCCTATGGGATATTTTAATTATTTACTGTTATAATATGAATTATCACTTATTCCCCGTTAAATAAATATCGGTCACCGGGTGCAGCTGTACAACTTCAAGGACCTTGGCCTCAAGTGCATGGGACCAACTCTACATTTTCTGAAATGTCAATAAAAGCCCTGGAATGATTTCATTTAAAAAAAAATAATCAGAAAGTAAATCTAGTTTTATTTATATGCTATTTGTTGCCAGAAAATATATTTTGTTACGAGTCTAATTCAAATTTAAAAATAAACAATGGGTCTGAGGCATATTTTATTGATATATAGAAATTAATGCAGTGTTCTCATTTTGTGATAAAAGAGTGCCAGAAATGTCTCGAAATTCAGCCATTTGTGTATTTAGTATATCAAGTATATGCGTGTATTACAAAGCTCTGATTTGTGTGATTTGTGTACACCCCGCTCCCCCCCCCTCCTCGTGTCACTATCATGTACATATCAACCCTGCCAACCCACCCACGCGAACATGACTAAATTATGAAACATTGTCTAGTCGTTTGTATGTTACGACAAAACGAGGCCAGCGTGGCTCATTTGCTGCAGAACGGAAGGCCTTGCAAGGATTAGTGTCTAGTCGTTTGGATGGTACGAAAACCCGAGGTCAAAGTGGTTCCCCGTTGGCAGTGGTGAAGTATGGAAGGCCTAGCAAGGATCTGTGTCTAGTCACCGGAAATGACGAAATTTGGGTAAAAACTGTATTTATAGCCTTAGAAACAAATAATTTATTGAAATGAGTCGTATTTGTTGTTTGTTTAATATTTTGATATTTGATTCTAATCAACTAATAGAATGAACCCATACGATCATATAGGTATCACAAAATGGTTTCTAACTTGTTCAGTTGTAGAGAAATAGGTAATTTTCAACAGGTCACTTTTCAAGGTTTTTTGTCCATAAAAGTGTCAATTATTATTCGATTTTCATGAAATTTTCACTATGTGATACCTAATGCCATTTACAATTTCATACAAGCAATTTAAGATTTTCATTATCACCGGAAGTAACGTCATTTTGGCAAAAACTGTATTTTTAGCTTTCAAAACAGATATTTTATTCAAATGAGTCTGAGTTGTTATGTTTTTAAAATTATGATATTTTATTCCAATCAACAAATAGAATAAACCCATACGATCATACAGATTCCAGAAAATGGTTTCTAACTTGTATGGTTGCAGAGGAATTGACGGTTTTCTACAAGTCACTTTTTAAGGTTTTTGGTCTATAAAAGTGGCAATTATTATTCGATTTACATAAAATTTTCACCATGTGATGCCTTATGCCATTTCTGATTTCATAAAACTAATTGAATATTTTCATTATCACCGGAAGTACTGTACACTTACATGTAACAAATATATAAAATGAATTGATATTGCTGGATTTGGTTGATTCGGCGTCCATTTTATTTGATGTGTGCAATGATGAGGTGGAAACCTGTTTAATGGTTTCATTGGTACCGGAAGTGACATATGTTTAGGGTAACGTGGCACCGGTGAAACCCGTCATTACTGCATCGCAGTTCTAGTTTTTATTATTATTGCTTCTTATTTGTATTTTTCAGACAATATCTAATTTCTCACACTTAATCCATGCTAATGATGTCACCACAGAATGTCAAGACCTTATACGTAACTACCTTTCTACGGTTTAATTAATTTGGGGTTTCTATAATACTGATATGACATCTTAGAGCACAGTCCTCTTAATATGTAGTCTAATAAGAATGAGACTTAATGGGATAGTGTATGTGTTAATTGCAATAATTTAATTTATGTACAGTTTACGATTTATGTCTTCCTATGTCTATAATCTTCTTTGTATTTTAATCTACTTCTAAATTGTTATGTTTATTCTAATTGTAAAATAAGTATCTAGGGGTAACACCATCAAGAATATAAATATGAAGGTGGACCCACAAAGGAGAAAAGTTAAGTTAGAGGTACTACAGATAACAGGCTACACTTAGACTTATGCCAACTCTTGATTTTATACTTCTTTAGACAAACAGAATTCTGTGGTTATACAGTTCTGGATATTGTCTGTTATGATTGTTATTTACTGTATCTCAGTGATTCTCAACTAGTGTGCTACAGCACACAGGTGTACTGCGAGATATTCCTAGCTAAGTGTGCCGTGAAATTTTGAACAGCACACTAAAAGAAAATTTCTCACTTTAGTAAAGAACCCTGCTATTTGTCACATGGAATTCGAAACACTGCAATTAAGTAAGTTCATAGCTATGTTTTCTTTTATTTAGTTTGGATCATTCTATGTGTCTATGACTAGTCTGTGTCTACGGTTGTATGCTGTCTATGACTTGCCATGTTTTTATTTTGTAAAATGTTTTTCATATAGATTAAGCCAGGTGTGCCACTAGTATTTTTTCATGTGTTCCAGGGTGTGCTGTTGGCAAAAGAAGGTTGAGAACCACTGCTTGCTGTATCTACATACAGTTCTATAATTAGCTGAATCAAGTGTTTATAATTTTTGAATAAGAAACCAGTACGTGAGGAACTGTCAACAGCAATAAGAACCTAATCAAAACATTTTTTTGAAATTTAAAATCTAAAAATTTAAGTGATAATTATATTATTATGTGACACTGGCTTGTTTTGACCGTTTTCCAGCGTGGTTTCCCCTTGTCAGTGATGCGGGACGGAGGGCCTGACAAGGATAGCTGTCTAGTCGTTCGGATGGGATCAAAAACCGAGGTCCCGTGTACACATTGGTGTACACGTAAAAGATCCCTTGACAGTTGGAATTCGATATAAGAGTAGGCCGTAGTGCCGCTGCCCGGGCAAAATTTCCCTCATACCACACTGTATGGCGTATGCCCGTCTTCATTAGCCCAGTTTAGGAGCAGAACAGTAGGAAGTTAAACCCCATTTCATTTCATTTCTTGTTTTGACCGTATCCCGTTTATATCGTCTGCGGAGGATGCCAAACAATGACAAATTCTATATTCATCATATATCTTATACTGACTGATAATATTCCTTTTCGTGATTCAACTTTCACAGTATTGTAGTTTGCAAGACTCATTGAGGTTAAAATTCCCTCAAATGATGATAAAAGTCTTAAAAATAGGTTGCCAACCAACAAAACATACGCCCACAGCAGCTAAGTCATCCGAAAAGTCCAAAAAGGTTGTTACATTTTATGCTTTGTTGGTAATGAAGGCACTAACAAACTTAAACAGACAATGCAAGAGCTAAATCTGCCTTAGGCCTTAATAGATGTTATTTAATTATTAAAAATGGAGAAGCGATGTTACGATTATAAATAATCAACTCAATGCACACATCTTGTCAAAATTACAAACATTGATAACTTCGCACAGAATGAAATTTTCAATATTCACTTTGCATAAACTATTTTTGAACTATTATAGCAAAAACGGCCAGTCACAATGCTTAGATATAGGCTCAGGGGCGTCGGAATCTGGGTACCAGGGTATACAAATGGTACCCTGCCCTTTTCTGGGGTATACATGTATACCCTAGTTACTATACTTGTAACGTTAAACTGTGTGTTTAACGTTACAATTGATACAGTCTAAGAATCCTTACGCAAGTTCAAATAGGTTCAAACGCACAATTGTCAACACATTACAGTTTGTATTGGAATAAGTAATTCTATGACAAATATTGAAGACTGGACCACTAAAATAGTTACCGAACAGTTTTTCTTTATGGTTATGCGTTCTACATTTGCATAGCGATGTTTCTTGTAATGACGTATTACACAAGCCGCCATGACACCAGCCGGTTGAAATTTTGCGTAGCAGTTGGGTTTCATCAAATCATATAATTATGCGGTAAGGCTTCACCTTTATTTCAATAGGAATTGATTTATTATATGTTAAGCTAGGTGCAGTACTGTTTTGGGTCAGTTTATGTGTAAATTAAGGGAGCTATAGACCAGTAACCTTTTTGTAGTGATTTCACTAAAAAACTTGCGCAAAGGAACTCCTGTAGGACGAGCCACTACTGTGGCTGGAGTAAGGCGGAAGACATCAGTAGTGGAACCATCCATGCCCTAATGATGAAAGTTTTTTTTAACCTATTTACTAGTCTATTCATTTGTGAATAATCAGGCTTTTGTCTCTTTCATTATCATGTATTTTATAGGGTTTTATGTTGAAATTTGGAATGCTAGAGGCGCTCTAAACAGCATTCTCGGAATTGACAAATTTCAAAATTTTCTAGAGGCCGGGGGAAAAGACCCCTCCCCCATCCCCCTATCTTTTGGTACCCTATATGCAGTGCAAGAGACGGGGTGCAGTTTCTTTAGTCATATCCCTCCGCCTGTAACAAATAATCTTTCAAGTTATTGTCTGTCCGTGTCCGTCAAGTCGGTTACAAAAAAATTAGACGTATAGTCTATATTATATTCATTTAAAAATTATTTACAAAACAATCGGATAAACATATATCACTATCAATAATCTTACTCATAGAGTAGGACTATTATTACTCACCTATCTGAAACTGATATTTTTCTCTAGCTATTTCGCTAAAACAAACCATAACCACAGAGTACAAGGCAGACAGAAGAGTCTGGTTGATGCTATATCGCACCTAGCGAAATACCAAAAAGGGGAGGAGCTACCAATTATAGCTAGCTGAGCAGAAATTCTAACGTATTTGTAGGCGGTGTGATCATTGATCGTACAGTTCTATGGTGTGATAGTTTGAGTTGACTCCTGGTGTGTGTTTTCTCCTGGGCACTTGAGCATGTCCGAAACTGATGTTTGCCTTAACAACGAAACTATATCTACTTCCTGAGGTGTGAGTTGGTTCCTGATCACTGGTCAGTACAGGAAAAAGTATATCATGTACTTGATTAGAGTTTTGTCATTAATAAACATACTTGTTATCGTGATTAGCTGTTGTTTTAGTGATCAGTAGTTACACGATCAACGGATCTAAGTTGATTGGCTTGAAATTGATACTTCTATCGTTCGTGATTTGTTGCCGTTGGTTTTTTTTAGTGATTAGTCGTTCTACACACGTACGATCAGTGGAAACCATACAAATTGATGATTGGCTTGAAATTATCAATTAATTCACCTCCAAAGCCATGGAAGATTAAGGCCTTTGATATTTCGTGGCTTCATTTATCACAAATATAAAAGTATGTTTCGTCCTTTGCACATGTTATCCTACTGTTGTTTATTGTCCTATGTACATATATATGAAAACCTAACCATCCTAATATTTCTCACTAATCACATTGTAAATTAATGCACCTTGTACACATAACACGTCATTGTCTGCGATATCACCTCGGTGGAAGCGGACGTAAAATACAACTAACACTAACTAACTATTCCGATTTCTTTAACATAAATATAGATTATACCATCCCATACATTCAAACATGCATGTAGACAGCCCAAATACAAGAGAGAATGTTCGCATTGTGGACGGGTATATATACTAAATAATAATAATAAAGATCGTCAATTTGCATCCTCTCGTGGTGGTAATCTGTAAATATCGGTAGATAATAGTCTATGATTTGACCGTAAGAAAATCTTAGGGGAAATCCTATCACGAGGAGTCAATGCACACCGCGACTGTAACGGTGTCACACTGATCCGCAGTGAATATTTGCTTGGCCGCGACAATCACTGATAAGGATGACATTGATGCGGCTTAATGAGCTAGAAATATTAACTTTTTTCCTGCGACAAATTAAATTCTAAAACATTTTTTGTATATTTTGGAAAAATAAATAAAGGCGTTTGACGTATTTGTAGTTAAAAATTATTTCCGATTTAGTGTAAATGGGTATTAAAATGACTAAAATGCAGCATTCTCTCCGAAGCAGTTATGTCTTATGTAAACAATGCACGCGCCATTCAGCCAATGATTCACTCCGCGTACTGTGACAGCACGTGTTAAGGCAGTCATCTATGACGGAGATATTATACGAGACTCGTAATTCTCTGTCAAACAGATTGTAACGGTGTGAGTTGACTCCTACAACTGCGCATGCGCCAAACGGTAATCACACACCAGGAACCATCTGAAACTGCCACAGGCGGGATTTAAGAAGCATAACCACGCTTTGACATGATCGGTGTTCTATAGTTTTAACTATACAGTGTCTTAAAATTTCAAGTGAGTATCTCGAAATGTAAGTTATTATATAGGTAACCAGACCACTCGGAACAAAGACCACTCGGACCAAGACCAAAAAGAGACCAGTCGGACCAAAATGAAGACCACTCGGACCAACCTAAAAGACCACTCGGGCCAGCAAAAAAGACTGCTCGAACCAACCCTCAAGACCACTCGGACCAATCAAATTATATTGGAAGACCAATCGGACCAATCAATTTATATTGGAAGATCACTCGGACCAACATTTATATTTGCTACTCGGATCAACCCAAAGGGTTGCTTCTCGGACCATTATATAGCTTCACTTATATGGGGCGCCGTTTGTAAAATAATTATTTAATTTTTTTTATAGCAAAAAACATTAGATTTAACTCCGAATATATATATTTAGATAAATATTAGAACAAAAATGGCATATATGTAAAAATCAAAAAATATTGTAGCTAAAAGTCGAGTTTTTGGTCTATGAAAAACTTTAAATGTTATATCTTGATTTCACATCGCTTAGTTAAATATATAGCTAAATGTGCTGTTTTTCGTAGGTATAAATGCTAAATACTAAATCACTGAAAAATCTAAAGTTAAATATTTAGCTAAATATATAAACATTTAGCTAAATATATAAACATTTAGCTAAATATATAAACATTTAGCTAAATATATAAACATTTAGCTAAATATATAAAAATTTAGCTAAATATATAAACATTTAGCTAAATATATAAACATTTAGCTAAATATATAAACATTTAACTAAATATATAAACATTTAACTAAATATATATTTAGTTAAATATATAAACAGTTAACTAAATATATAAATATCATGCTTAATATATATAGCTAAATATATAAATGTTTAACTAAATATATAAATGTTTAACTAAATATATAAATGTTTAACTAAATATATAAATGTTTAACTAAATATTTTAACATTTAACTAAATACATTGTATATATTTAGCTAAATGTTTAAACATTTAACTAAATATTTAGCTAAATATTTATATATCATCAAATCTCTTGTTTTGGTCTTAATATTCAATGCTAAATGTTAAATATGAAAATAGAGACAAATCATAGAGATTTAACTATATAAATTTAAATTAAATCTAGTGTTTTTTGCTATATAAAAAGCTAAATAATTAATTTACAAACGGCGCCTCATACACTTATTCATTTAAGAAATAAAATACAGATTTTAAATAAATATTATTTATTATTAAATCTCAATACACGGAGGTGAATAATTTAACAATGTCTTCCTTACTATATGTGAGCTACAGGTAAGTGCATAACAGCAAATATTCATATTTATTACATCAACAATTTATTATATATTTTATAGTCAATTCTTTTACCAGTCTTCGATAACGGTGTCTAGATATATCTGAAAAATATATTAAAAACATTCTAAAAAAATTTGAAACTCTTTTACCAACTGCGATTACGTTGTCTAGATTTGTATTAAGCAACTAATAATACTATAGGTCTTATTTTAGTACTAAGAAAGGTGTTCTGTTTAATATAGAAATTCGTTACCTACATGATCTGTGACGAAAACTAGGGTAATGAAGTACCTTGCATTATTCCACTATTATCTTATACTAACTCGCCGATAGTTATTTCAGTATCCATTGCTGGAAGTAGAGTACTATAGTCCAGTCATCTCGTGCACGGATTAGTACAATTAACTAGAATAGTGTTGACGTAAAACGGCGCCTATACGAAACACTTACCCAAAAATGGTAATTGTCCCGCCCTAATAGATGACGCATTATAATATCTATATAGGAGAGATATGGTTTGATTTACCTTCAGATATCATAGAGCGGCCCGAGAAGGGAACATCGTAGCCTCGCCGGCTTAGAGGCTAGGGTGAACACACCATCCTAGCGCGAACCTTATGTAAAACTATCAAGAAGTATGTGGCTCTTGCCACGTTTAAGTCGTTCTGGTCTGAGTAGAGGATATTAAACTCAGACCGTGGATATTTTAATAACTCGAAAAGTACTATCATAACTTTGTAGTTTGCTGTATGTATTTAATTATATAAACTTAGTAACAACATAAACGGTGTTCCAGAGTCAGTTAATTGATGATTGAAATAATTGATCCCACATTGAAGTCGAAGGAACGCCTAGAAAAAAGTGTCACATCCGTCCCCATAGTGTCACAGGTAATTCCTTGTTGGTGCCGTTGACCTAAGGATGTCGACCCTGGAGAAAATCCTTGCAAGAAGAACTTTCCAGTCGTTTTTAGGTAGGTACATAATATTATTTCCTACTAAACTGACCATGGAAAGCCAAAAAGACCAAGGGGCAGATTTAATGGAATTTTAGAGGTTAGGGATTTGCTAAAAATAATCGGTAAAAAGGACGATAAAAAGTTAACATAATTAATTTAAGAAAATCTAAGTAAATAGGGAAAAAATAAGGTTTAGGTTTAAACATGGGTAATTTTCTATAAACGTAGGCATAAATAAGATTCCTAAAATTGAAACAGTAAAGCTAGGTAAAAGAAAACAAATGATGTCTCCGGTCTAGGCAGGAAGAACGTTCTGAAATGGAGGGTTTGCGCGTTTGACGCAAAACACCATAAGAATTATTCGGATGTATAGATCGTAATAACATTTCGAAAGTCTAGAGGGGTGTTTTAGACGTGAATTTTGTAAATGAATGTAACGTACTGTTCTGTTCAAGTAATGTGTATATGTGTTTAACCGGGTAAGGTTAAGATATGGACCTGTGTAAAATCACGGTAAATGCGTTTAGGTTCAGTGCAAAGTCTTGCCCAAGGTAAATTTAAAACTGAATGATGTTTTTTTAAATTCGCGGGATAGCGTGTGGGTCGGTATAAGGTTCTAATGAAGGTTTTAAAGGAAACACGAGGTCCTGCAATATTGTGAGTAGCTTAAGCAATGTACCGGTTTCCAGATTTTCATGTTGTTTTGTAATAACCTGTATAAATCGCAAGAAGGGTGTAGGTTTAGGGCAAAGGCTTGCCCCAGGAAAATTTAAAAACTGAATGGCCCTTTGTAAATTCGCGAGTTGCGTGTGGGTCGGTATTAGGTGTTAAATAAATGGTTTAAAATGAAACAGTGCACCTTGCAATATAGCGGTTAGCTTAGATTATGCAGTGGTTTAAACAGTTTCTGGATTTTTCGTGTTGTGTTGTTAAAGATGTAAACAGGAGGTAATAAGTTCAAAGTATGTGTTAAAAGCGGAAAACATACCATGGTAAGATGGGTAATTTAAATTTGGATTCGAATGTCCGGTTAGCTGTCGAATAAATTTTGAATTATCGGAAATGCCATGCGTAGTGTATACATAAAACCATACTTAATGACAACGAAAATGTCAGGAACTTATTAATAAATTGTCAAATGTTATGTGTGTTGAAAGTAGGGAATATAATAACCTACGGCTGTGTTATATTGACT